AAGCCCGAAGGGCAAGTGGAATATCACCTTGTGAAAGTGCTACAGGTATTCACCGAAAATAGAGTGAAATATTTGTTTTATTATATCACTGTCTAGCTAAACATCCCTAATATTATTAAGTCATAGGTTAACATTGAAATACATTGAATCTACTCGGTTCGTCTGCCATTTTGACTTACACTGAACTAAATTATTTACACTGAACGAAAACAAATTCTTTGAAAATTCCCGGGAGCGTGGGATATCGCTAGATATCTCACGGTTGTCTTATCTGATTAGCATTGCCATTGAATATCGCCAGATATCCCATGACATGTGACCCGGTTTTGACCAATCATAATGTCGCTAGCTAGATAGTGATATAATAATGCCTCATATCAGTTCAAGCCATCTGCCATTGTTAATGATTATTTCCAGAAATTTATTGTAATTTGGAACTATCCGAAGGATATCTTGAATAATATCGCAATTATTAAACAGTCTCATGGGCAGCGTTCTGCTCTTATGCGCCCTTCCTTATTTGGAATCAATATTTCATTGGAAGAAAAATGGACTTGACAGTCATTGTTGACTTTACTTAGTTAGCTTTTACTCTGATAATCATAAATAGGTCTCCTAGGAGGCAAGAATCCTTCTGATTCAATATCACCACAAAAATGGTGTTTTCGTATAAACCATTTTGAGATCTTTCCTCAGCTGGAATCATATTTAGGTTCATCTTTATCTTTAATCAGGATTCAATGTTGCCAAGAAAATTGATCTAGAGAACTGTAATGGAATCATGACTTGGGGAAGTGACACTAATTCACTTTAATGTTAATCTCATTTTGTAGATTGACATTTTAATTAAGAGTTTCATTGAGTATCTTCATTAGAATTCTTGCAGTAGTATTCAATATATGACCATAGTAAAGTCATCAGAGTGTCATTGTCACTTAAAATTAGATTCATTCATTGGTTTAAATCAAGGATGGGGTAGATTGTTCACTTCACCAGTTCCTCCCTTATCTTCTGCACTATTCCTAGAGACATCTTTGCTTTTGTGATGAGGATGTGTGCTTTATGAGAAATAGCATGCTTCATTGAATCCATTATTTAGTGTATTTACCATACATAAGGTTTTATAGAATGTATGTATTTTCATCAAGGATTAATTACTCTTGAACTGTCTATTGGGGCTGAAAGTGACAAATAGTCTGTCTCACCAAATGAATTATTTAGCTGCCTTATGCACTTGGTTTGTAATTAAGTGCACTGACTGTTTATGGGTGATAATACTAAATACTCCCATGAGTATGTTTACTATATTACTTTGTAACTACATGTACACTAGTTCCTTTGAGTGTTTTGAGAATTCTTGTGCTCATTGAACATGTTTTGGAACCCGAGGATATTGCATATGGACGAATTGTATTCAGCCTTAGAAATCTTTGTGAAAACTTTCATTGTACATGCATCCTGAATCCATCTATGACAATACAACTAATGCCACACATTCAAAACTTGCTCTTAAGATTTATTTTTCATTATTTTCCGCTTTTGTGTACTTGTGATATATAATGTTTTATATCACATTCCTCGTAAGATTAAGTATTCTTGATGACTTCATTGATTCAAACAAAACCATTCATTGATCTCAGGGGCAATTATTTTAAAACATTAACATCTTTTCTGTGCTATTTTTGTTCATTTCCCATAAAGCGTCTTACATCATACTACATTGCTGCACTTCAGGGAAATAAAACCAACTTGAGAACATCTAGCTCTTTAGGCAGATCTTGAAGAATCTATCTTTTTACTATACCCTCTACCAAAAATCACTCTGTTGACACAACTGGCTCTAAAATTTTTTAGTCCTACCAAAACCCAAAATGTTATTATAAACGAGCCATTTATCAGAAAAAAGAACTACCCTTTCCCTTAATTTGTTTTAAATATCCAAGTTCATATATTTTGAAAAAGTTAGATCCCTCAAGATCTGATAAATGACAAACAGACAAACATATAGTTCTTATATGTGGACTAAATCGCATATTAAGTAAATTATTACCATATATGGGTGTACAGATCTCATGATACATATTATTGTAAGGCTTGTAATACATAAATGAGAAATGATATTCAATATAAAATCTATATAAAAATGGTTTGAGATACTTTTTACAAAAACCAACAAATAGGATTAAATTTAGTCCCTAGGTTCCCATTTTCACCTCCTGATTAATGAGTTTGCCAATGAAGAACAATTAGAGTTCTTACAATAAAGTATATATAAGTTACAACATTTCTGATATTTATATCTTACTTTTGACAAAGTTTTTACAATGGTGATACCCATAGGTGCATGTAAATTGAGATCAGGTCTCTTGCTCAGTTAATATGATTAAATTTGGTAGAGAAATAGAGAAATATTTTGTGACTAAGATCCCTAAAATAGTCATTGTAAGAGCTTCCTGATGGAAGAAACAATAATCAAATAAATATTCTATCTGAGAGAAGGAAATGACGTTACGGCACTTGTGCATATCGATTTTCAGTTTTATTTGTTATTTATAATTTTGTGACTTGGTTGATTAATTGTTGGGAAATTGAGAATCTCATAAAAACTATGCTTGATGTCTTTCTTTGATTGATTTCCTTTGGAACATGTAGAGGGATCAGTTAACAGAAGCTCTTTCTCACAATAAGGAATACAGTAAAACCTGTTTTATAACAACGGTCAATGAGAAATAAAAAATTTGGGACCAAGAAAAGGTGTGTGTATTGAGATGTTCAGATATACAGATTTCACTGTATTGAATCTGTATTACATCTTTAACATCTTTCTCGAAAACTATCACAAGTGAAGTTTATCAATATTTATTATGATAGGTAATATTTTGATTTGATTATGAGTAACAGGCTTGTGACATTGAGCATGGTCTTTCATCTGTCAGACTTCAGGTTAAGAGAAAATGAAAGTAGAACATTAATCAAGTTATTGTACATGTGTATGAAATTACTCCTTTGGGTATGCCGGGTGGTGTTTGTAAAAGGAGAGGATTTATGTGATTTTGATGGATATATTGTGATTGAATAAGTGATCTACATCAGATCACATCAGTAGCATTATATTGTTACAATTACATGAGCTATAAAAACCCACATCGGTCTTTATTACATTGTTATAAAACTATATATTTTTAGAATTAATCATGTATGTGCCTTGTTATATTTTAGGTGAGATACATCATGCAGTGATTTTGGCCAGAACTGACTCAATTGGTGCTTATGATAGGAGGGTTTATAATGGATGTTAGGATGCAAGGTTAATTCTATACTTTGCTTAATATGACATAAGCCCTCTATCCAAAACTGGTCATTACATAACTGGTTTATCCCTAAAAAATACTTGTACATTATATAATACAAAAAAATTGTTTTGGTTTTTTATAGCACCCCATGGAACCCGGGGAGGTTTTAAAACAGTTGACAAAGTTAGAACGAGAGATTGAGAAACAAGTAAAAACCCACGAAGAGTTACTCGATAATTTACAAAACGAGAACTTTAGAATGGTAGTCGATTTGCTCAAACAAAAAAATAATAGTAAGCACTATGATTTCTAGAATCTGTTGGCTGAGGGCTGATTTTATATTTTATTTTGCATGGCTGTCATTAATACCAGTGATCTCTCCAGCATTAAAGCAAACGAGCGCTGCACCCAATTGAGATTTTGAAAATAGGATTTCACCCACCTGAGAATCTATTTGTACCTACTTGAAAACGAGAAGATTAATGAAAGTGGACATATTTTGACCAAATTTGGTTAAATTGTGAAATCAAGAATTTTGCACCCATTTGTGATAAAATCCTGGTGAGAACACTGAATATCCTGAATTTATATTATTAAGCTATAATGCACTCTGACGTTTACAGAAGATTTTTCGGTTTTGATGGTCATAATGTCTCGATGATCTGAAATGGATCTTTTTGACTTTTATGGGAGTTTGAATGTGAAATGAATGTTATCTATTAAGGCAAAGATAAACAGTATCAATTTTTTTGATTTGATTACTTACAAATCCTGATTGAGTGATCACTTGTGTAGACAAAGTTTAGAATGGAATTCGGGATACTAAATGACAGGACATATTCTTTATAATTTGTTTGTGAATGTCAACATTTCAACATGTCAACATTTTTAGACCAGGCTCAATCAGTTCTTTTTTTCTTCCCTCAAATTTTTAAGTTTAAAATCAGTAGTCATCTGTAGATATCAATCCAGTAATTTGTTGTATCTTTTAGATATTCCAAACATTAGGATTTATCTTTGGTTTGCTTTCTTATATAACTGGGTTTTCAATTCTAGTAAACACTTTTGAATTAACCCAGAAATCCCCCCCCCCCAAAATAAAAAATACAAAGAGAAACTATATACATGTTCAAGAATTAATAGGTCAGCTACATTGACTGTTTATGTGACATAAGGGAGCTGGTTTTGGGCTATCTTGGTGTTTTGGCAGATCAATAGGGCTCTAGGGTGCCATTTCCCAGCCTTCATCGTGTACCAATCTTTTAATGTCAATTTTTATTTTGCAGGCAGATCAAAAAATCATTCTTCTTTGCACAGCGCAAATTGGGACTTGGGTTTAACTCTCTTTGTTTTAATTAAACCGATTTTGTCAAGTTTGTTATTAATTACTGATTATTCATCTCAGAAGATTCTTTATCACTTTGTTGTATAACACACATTAAGTAATCTTTCCCGTTGAGATTTTGAAAATTATGTGCACTGCATACCCAGCTGCAATTCTATTTGCTCCACTTTAGTGGCATTTTTGTCAGAATATATAAAAAGAGAATTTTGCATGCACTGTTGACAAAAAATCCTTCACAAAACTCTTCATTCATTTTGTTACACCATTAAGTGCAATGACAGACTTGGCATTATCACGTTGTTAGGCTTACTGCTGTTTGGTAGTTGGGATTTATGTTTTGTTGCATGCCTATGTGATTGTAGTCTGCTGTTGGTGCGGGTTCACAGCTTGAGAGTAGACTACAGGATCTACAGAATGAGATTCAGCTTGAGCTAAGTCAGAATAGTGAACTTTTACGCCGTCTGCATCAATATAAACGTAAGATCGTATCTCGTAAGTTTCTTTATTTGCTGCTGCAAACTTTCATTAACCCTTCACCATCATTTAATGGACTTTCACATTAGTTTGATCGCTGTAATAAAGATGCACACTCTATGTAACTCTGACCACTAACTTTTGTTTCCTTCATTATACACAGTCAATAGATATGCATCATTAATTTGTCAACAGAGTGTTCAGGGTGGGGAGAGTAATTGCTAACATTTTGTATGTGGAAACGTAGAAGCATTATGACAATTTTGCTAGAAGGCGGTAAAATGTTAGCCATTTTATATGTGTTATTTTACAGTTACTGCTATTAATTTTATTATTTTTAAATGTAAATAAAAAGCGTGACCCATTTTCTTTTGACAACCTGCCTGTAAAGTGGCCATTTGAAAATGTTAGTCATTCATATCATTTATATTTTTCATGCAATTACTTGACGTCTTGTCTGACACTTATTGGATATCCAATGGGATTTGTGATGCCTTGGCATTGCCATTATATAGTTTTATTTTATCTTATTTTTATTGGTATTTTATATTAGTTTTATTTTATCTTATTTTTATTGGTATTTTATATATCTACAATTTACAACTATTAGAAAGTATTTTTAGACACTAATTTATTGATGTGTAGTCTAAATATTGATTTATATTTAATGAAAAACTTATATGATTAATATAATACAAATAACATGTTTTAGAAAGAATGAAAGATATAGACATGTTAACTTAACTGAAGTCAGAGATAAATTGATAATGTATTCTTTCTTGAAATAGACTTTTCATTATATAACAAACATCACATATATTCAACCAAAAATGCATTCAAATTTCTGTTTGCAGATCAAATAGATGGAGGTGAAAAAAATATTGCACCGGGTGAAGGGAACATTGGGAATGGTCCCGACAGTCCTGTGGTGCTGCCTGTAGACTTTGAAGCCTCAAAGGATAGCTTGTTTAATGTCCCTATACCTGTTCTAGTCTTTGCCTGTAACCGTATCACTGTAAATAGAAACTTAGATCAACTTATAAAGTAAGTACATATACAAACCATTCATGAATTATCTTATGATAGTCTTGCATTAAGCCTCTATCATTCCACTACCAACTACCCAGCCACTGCGTAGCTAGAAGGTGTTAATATTATGGGGCTTGATACAAGATCCAAAGTGAGAAAAAAGTATTTTCATTGTAGCTCCCAAGATCTAAATAGCAAACATAATTGGTGAATTTTAAACTACACTCAGTTTAATGTGAAATCTTCATTGAAAGACCATGATATAATTCAACTTTTAAATAAAACCTATTCTTTCAATGGGAAGACAGTTTGAAATCCCACACTCACCCTTATCTCATTGTATAAGTGTTTAACTAGTTGGTTGTTATATTTCAGATATAGGCCATCAGCCCAGAGGTTCCCAATAATAGTTACCCAGGACTGTGGCCACGCAGAAACAGAAAAAGTTATATTATCATACGGGGATAAGGTCACTTTAATAAAGGTAAGATTAGACTTAAAGGGACAAAGTGCTGAAATGAAGTCTCATTTTTGATCTTCATAGTATTTCCAATGGATAAATAAGTACCTGATCTTTCATTTGACACCAAAAATAGCTCAAACAGACCACATCAGACTTGACACTAGATCATGAAAAAATATTTTTGATCTATCAATTTATATGTGTCAAGTTTTTAGCAATGCCATAGAAAGATGGCACTGTTGTTTGCATTGATTATCCATTCATTTTTGATAGGATTTTTAAGCATACGCCATCTTTTAATCCAAGAGTTATTTAAAACATACATTTTGTGAAAAGTGGTAATTCACTTTTTTCAATCTCTGAACTTCAAATGCCGTTTTCTATGCGAATAATTTTTTTTTCACTTCAGTATTATCCCAAATTAAAGTTATTATCATATTTGATTGACTGTGTGAGTGACATGTCTCAAATAATATTTTGTCCTTTTTCCTTCAAAAATAGGCGCATTGCCTGTTTAACTCGCTTGATTTATACCAACTTTAATTGCATCTCGCAGAAAATCACATCAACACATAAAGATATATTTGTTTTGCTCGTGATTTTACAAGAATAGTGTAGAATCAAAGATACATGGTTAATTTTTTAAAAAATTGAGTCGATAATTATGGTTCACATCATTCCTTACATGTCGTCATGTCCAGTAGGGGCATAAGTCAGCCATTCTGTGAAAGAATGTTACCACTGTCAAGCTTGTTTGTTACAAGCTACACTTTGGGTGTGTCCTGAACTCAGTACTTGCTTGTTTTCTCAGCTAATGGCTTAGGTAGTTGATATAATGTACCTTGCCTTCGTATGTGCTTACAATCAGATGATTATGTTTGTCCATAACCACTACTCGAGGACTTATGATATTGTCTTCAGGGGTGACAAGAAGCTTAATGAACTTTCCTCCAGGGCTCAACAGATGAACTGTATTATTTCCTTGACTCGCTACTATAACTCTATCAAATGGATCTACACACACATCCTGAGATCCTTCAAGTTCATTCACTTTATCCTTCTGTCCATTATATGTAAAGAGCAGTTCACCATTTTTGCTGTATTTTTCTACAATGTTCAAATCTGTGTATGATATAATAGTCTCAGACTTGGAGGTCACAGATATGTAAGGGACATAGCCATCACCTTTAATGTTATGTGTTGAGATCAAGGTGTTAGTATCAATATCAATGTGTGATAGTTGATCTTCCTCGTGGTATGCTATTAGTTTACCATCAGGAGCAGCTGCTATATTATATACTGGTGACTTAATACAATCAACATTTCTCTCAATGTTGCCCTTTCCATCCAACTGCTTTATTGTGGCTGTATCCTCATCCACTGCTATGATATGATTGCCCTGTGTTGTGAGGCGTACACATTTCATCTGAACATGATGTTTCTGTTTAAGTGTTATAGGATCAGTGATATTTATTCCACCTTCATCGTGAGCTGATACTATATCACCGTTCTCAAGAAATTGGAGATTCCATAAAGTTCCTGGCAATGTATTAATAGCTGTCTCAATCTCTACCTGTTCTTTTAAGGTACTGTTCGGTGAAGTAACACTACCAAAGTCCAGTCCTGTCTCTGTTGTTTTCCCATCATTGAACATAATCTGAATCTTTGGTTCAAACTTTAGTTTCTGGGGCTTGGACCACTCCTGTGTTTTATTGGTTAGTTCCTGCCTCATGCTGATAATATGAGCAGGGTGGCCAAACTGCTGCTGCGTCTCAAGAAGGTGCTTGGTGCTCAATGTGATACCATTTTGTAGTTCAAGATTGTTAATATGTTCATCCACTTTCTTCATGGTATCATGTTTTAGTTTTTCAACTTCAGTGACTTGGCTGTTATAGTGCTTGTCAATTAAATCATGCTGAACTTTTCTTGTTGCGTCAATAGCTGCTTTGACTGCTGCAGCATTGTTTTCTATGATTTCTTTGTATTCATTCATCTCTTTGATACTAGTGTGGACATTTGCCTCTCTTTGTACAGCCATTTCGATGAGAGATCCAATATTTTTCACGTCACCTTTCACATTGTCTATTAGATCCTCGCACTTGTGCCCATTATGTGTGGTGATACAACAGTCCCTACACAAGACCTCATGGCAACTTGTACAGTAGAACTTCAAAGGCTCATTGGGGTGGGACTTACAGAACTTTATACGTTTTGGAATCACTTCTAAAGTACTTTGTATGTCTGTTTTGTTATCACCTGTGATTGGAATGACCTTGTGGTCTTTAGTGACCCTAATGCTTTGATGAGTACGCATGCAAGGGTTACATATGAACTGGTCACATTCGATACACTTAGATGTTGCTTTAACTTTTTCATCATGTGACGCGCAAATGTCACAGTGTTGCTCAATGTTGTCAGCTGTTTTTTCCAGTTTCTTCCTCAGTGCATCTAACATGTCATTCAGTACATAATTGCCCTTGAGACCCTCAGCTCCACCATCTGGTACCTCAAAGTCGACTTTACACACAGGACACGGACATACTGTATCGTCTTTTTCTTTGATCAATTTGTCGAGGCACCCACAACATACTGTATGCATGCAGGGTGTCACTTTTGGATTGGTGAGGAGGCACATACATATAGGACAAGTCAGGACCTCCCTGTAGTTCTCTTCTACCACATGTACTGAAGCCATGATCACTTCTGGAATATAAAGACATTATCCTCTAAAATATTTTATTTTGTAGTAAAGAACCTCCTTTTAACCTATAACCATTTGAAATAAAAATTTTAAGTTTTTTTTTCTCAAATCATGAACTATGTATAAAATATAGATATATTGTAATTTTGCATTTGTTTATTTTACTCCAGAATAAATCAAACTTATTAAAAATGGTCTGACCTTGAACTCCCAAAGTACTACATGTATATCTAGTCTCTAATATCGATCATGATTTCTATCTAAGAATATTTTAAAAATTTAGATTAAAATTGACACTTTGATATTCTTATTTGAAAAGCCTCATTAACTTTACCTGTATATTTGTTACTTGCAAAATCTGTATATTTGATATCAGCTTTTACTGTGGTGTGCAACTCCTACGGTTACACTTTGAATGTCTTAATATGTCTTTTAGCACTGCGTGTACAGTTAATCAATTTGCACGTCAACATTAAGATTGATTGTAAAATATGTTTTCATTTAAAGTTACAAGGTCAACATTATCTGTCTACTTGACGTATTCTGTCCAATAGGAGAATGCCAAGTCACAAGTAGTTAATTTGGCAGTTCTGTTGTATTGATAAAGCTATGTTTTTGTCTGATAGGATATCAGACACATGCGAAATACTTCTTTTAAGGATGCAGTACCGGGTCGGTTTTCACGTCTGTTTGCGCAGGTTTGACTTCTGGTTTGAGAAAGCTAGCTCCCAAGAACGTCATTTTCGTATTTAGTCTTATTCAAAAATTATAGTTTATTTCGATAATGGTGTTTCCAGAAAAGAATTAAATTGCAAACATTTTATCAAGCATATTTTATCCCTTTCACTTTTATGGGAAAACTTGTTCTTGAGTCGCAATTAGTGGATACGAAAACCAGGGTTCGAAAGGTGCCAGCTCTATTGAAAACTCAAAAAAGTAAAAAGATTCATTTTGGGTGGGTAAAATAATTCTTTTATTTTGTAATTACCAGACGGTCAATCCTCTTCATATTGCACTTGGATGATGATAACATCATAGTGATACATTGTAAAAAATATGAGCAAAATATAATGTCTGGAACTTTTGCTACGCTGACCTGGTACTGCATCCTTAAGTGCACACATGTATTACTAGCAATGGACAACGAATAGATGGCGCGTTTTCGCGGGAAATTTTATTCACTAAAAAATTGACCCCGCTTTTATATGCAATTTTGGTCGCTCATTTTAACTATGTTAAAAGTCGAATTGCTGTTATTTCTTTATAAAATCTGTTTAATAATTGAATGAAGTCTTCGCGCATTCTGGGAAAATAGAAGAAAATCGTTTTTGGCGAGGACGAACTTCACGAGGTACAGTGGGGATCATAAAGAATTCCAAAAGCTATGAAAATTACATGCTGTCGCACATGTAATACCTTCTTACCTCAGTGTATTCAGTGCTCTATTTTCTCCGTCTGAGTAAGTCCAAATATAGTGGAATTTGTGTCCCTAATGACAAATAAGAACTTCAAAAGTTGAAGTTGATATTCACATGTAATGCCGACTCTTCAAATGTTGAGGTGATTTTGTCGCCCGATTGCGCCGGAAAGGAGGATTGGCTCCCAGAATGCAACATGACACGTGCCAGCTTTCAAAATGCTGTTCTGCCATTTTGAAACCTGTCATGAGTAAATACGGTAACTGATGTTGCATTCTGGGAGTCAACCGTCCTTGGATAACAAACATGGCGATTCATGAAAACATTCATTCGATTTGGTAGGGATTTATCCATTATTTGCAGGTATGAAGCTTTGGATTCATTTATTGTGCTACTTTAGTGAACGGGAATTATTTATCTACTGCTTGGGAGAGTTTGAGACACGAATCTTGTAAATTAGCTCATTGTGACAACTTGTGAACGTTGAGTTTTATTTTTGTCCCCCACTGTAAAGTTTAAATCATTTAATTATACCCTCAATAATTTTTGGTCGCTTTGATTAAGCAGTTATTTGTAAAGTTTAAAGTCTTCAGATCGTAAAAAATTAAAACTTACACTGATATATATATGCGCAAATGTAGAAATTCAACTTTTAAAGTGGCTGGTGTAATCTTCCGATTCTCATGCAAGATGGCGGCCATATTTATCTTCCGGGGTCGCGTGTCTTGCGCAAAAATAAAATCGTTAATTTTGGTTAATCTGTGTTCAATTATGGTTGTTACTTCAAATAAATGTATATTTATGAAATCAAATATGCTATTGAAAACTTCTTCATACGATGTCCGTTGAATTTGGACTTATTAGACACAGATTAAAAGATTGTTATTGTCACGTGATTAGTTTGTTGTTGTTCTCGCGATCAAGCACGTGGATCGATGTGGATAGGTTGGTATGATTATTTGACAATTACCAATGCATAATTCAGTAATTACAGGTGCCCCAATCTATTATCATCGGATAATCACTTTGACTACTTGCAGTCTCACCTCCCTTGATGCCCCATACTGTAAAAGTTTATCATTGATGACCCATACTAATGATCACTTGATGTCACATACTATTGATCATTTGATACATGTATACCATACTATTGACCACTTGATGTCCCACACTATTGATCACTTGATGTCCCACACTGTTGATTCCTTTGATATACTATTGATCACTTGACGTCCCATACTGTTGATCACTTGATGTCCCATACTATTGATCATTTGATGTCCCATACTATTTAACACTTACTACCCCATACCATTGATCACTTGATTTCCCACACTGTTAATTATTTTATTCCCTAATACTTATTAATTACTATTGATTATTGATTGTCCAAGACTGTTGATTACTTGATATCCAGTACTGTTGATCACTTGATGTTCCATACTGTTGATCACTTGATGTCCCATACCATTGATCACTTGATGCCCCATACTATTGGTTAGTTGATGTCCCATACCACTAATCACTTGATGTCTCATACCATTGATCTCTAAATGCAGCATGCTTGTTTTAACGACTTGGAAAGTTTTATTTTGGTCTCTCTCAAGACTTTTGAAAACTATAATACATGTACATATGGACATATGTATATTATATATTATGGTAAACAATTTAGTGATATACATGTAGTGTCAGCTTATAGATACACTATTTGTATACATGGAAAGAATATTACTCAAGTAATAAAAAAATATTTGTACTAATGTTCTCCATTGATCCAAATGAAAGAGACATAGGAAATTGTACATTGCAAATGTTTATTTTAAAAAAAATACAAAAAACGCCCATGGGTGATACTCTGTGACTCTAATTTACGAAAATATGAACTTATATTAGACCTTCATTTTTTTTGTTTGGTTAAATAAAAGTTAGAGTTACAAGAAAATATAAGGTATGATAAGATAAACCTTATTGTTAATTTTTAATTAAATTTCAAAGTTGGGGTCAGTTTTTAGCAAAAACGATTTTTGGACCCCCTGAGGGTGACCTACTTTAAATGGGTGCCACGGCCAGTATGCATTTTCTAAAAATTTAGGTTATAGATTTTCTTTTTATTGAAACTCCAAGCTTTCAGAAAATATATAGTTTAATGGGGTTGGGTTAATTTAAAAAAATGGTTGTCCAATGCTAGTATTACAAACAGATTACAGAATGTCTCTGGTAATCAGAAACATGTGTGATATAGTGAAACCACCTATGCCATCTCTGAACCAATGTCAAATGAAAATAGACTCCAATTTCTCAGAAAAATTATAAAAGTACTCAATTTGCATAAGAGTGACTACGGAAACTTAGCGCAGGTTGTATCCCACAGATGCCATACTTCAAACATCTCAATCAAAAATATTGAATATTCTTTATATTATAAGAGTAATGAAGAGAAGATTAATTAAATATATACATGTTTTTTATTGTTAAGGATGCAGTACCAGGTCAGCGTAGAAAAAGTTCCAGACATTATATTTTGCTCATATTTTTTACAATGTATCACTATGATGTTATCATCATCCAAGTGCAATATGAAGAGGATTGACCGTCTGGTAATTACAAAATAAAAGAATTATTTTACCCACCCAAAATGAATCTTTTTACTTTTTTGAGTTTTCAATAGAGCTGGCACCTTTCGAACCCTGGTTTTCGTATCCACTAATTGCGACTCAAGAACAAGTTTTCCCATAAAAGTGAAAGGGATAAAATATGCTTGATAAAATGTTTGCAATTTAATTCTTTTCTGGAAACACCATTATCGAAATAAACTATAATTTTTGAATAAGACTAAATACGAAAATGACGTTCTTGGGAGCTAGCTTTCTCAAACCGGAAGTCAAACCTGCGCAAACAGACGTGAAAACCGACCCGGTACTGCATCCTTAACTTTAGTCTAAGCAATCACAAATCCCTACGATCAAAACGGTTTACTCATTACTCTCCTTAGTTAGTGTTAGATGCTAAATTGTAACAAATATCAAACATATGTCATAATATAAGTTGCATTTTTTTTATACTTGCAGCACCCAGACCTAAGTGATATACCATTGTCTTTCAAAGAAAAGAAGTTCCAAGGGTATTATAAAATAGCCCGGCATTATAAATGGGCTATTAGTCAAGTTTTTCACAAGTTTAACTACAATGCAGTAATTATAGTAGAAGGTAGGTGAACTGACATCTATGAGAATATATAAGAACTATTTCAAATCTTGAATCTCAATCACTAATAATAATCAATCAGTTGACAATATCATCCACAATCTCAATTACTCACTCACTCACAGTCGCTCAGACTCAAGTTTTTTAATATGTATTTTTTAATATGTATTTTATTTCATTATTATTCAAATGATAAAGTTGTAAGTTTAGGTTCTAATGTATACCTTTTGTCTAACTGGAAATGTCATGCTTCATTTTTTGTTTAAGATAAGCACCAATGATCCCGAGTTGGCTCTCTCCTAGATTGATTTTTTTAAACAATAGGTTTATTTCATTACAATATTTCTCATGGTATAATACATGATCATTCGGCAAATCACCTATGTCCGCTTTCTTATAATCTTGATTAGATGATATAACGATTTATATATTTACACTATATTTCAGATGATTTAGATATATCACCTGATTTCTTTGAGTATTTCTCGGCCACTTACCCTCTGCTCCACAGTGACCCATCCCTATGGTGTGTCTCAGCCTGGAATGACAATGGGAAATCTGGCATGGTCTCTAATGAACCAGGTATTGTACAAAGAAAATTATTATCCCATCGAACAAAGTTCGGAGGGATATAGGGAACGCCTCCGTCCATCCGTCCGTCCGTCCATCCGTCCGGGCAATTACTCAAATACCGTTGGCCCGATTTTGTTCATATTTTGTACACATATACCCTATGGGGGTAGAAGTTCTGCTCGAAAGCCGATTTTCAAAATGGCCGCTCATTTCAAAATGGCGGCCATTTTAGTGCCGATTTTACAGTAATTAGGTGCAATATGTAAAACTGTAATAACAATATGTTTTAAATGTAAAAAAATTATAAAGGACATTAATAAAGCTACAAATGTAGATATTAAAAAAGCACATGGCAGCCATCTTGAAAAATGGCGGCCTTTACTCGTTATTTTACGATTTTTGCTGTAACTTGAAAAGTAATGGAGCGATTTTGTTCATATTTGGTATATGAATACTATAAACATTGCAGACTGTCTAAAGACACTTTTGGTAGAAGGCGGCCATTTTGAAAAATGGCCGCCATTTTGAAAAATGGCCGCCATTTTCACATATTTTACTATAACTCGAAAATTAGTGGAGCGATTTTGTTCATATTTGGTATGTGAATACTATAAGCATGGCACACTGTCCTACGACACTTTTGGTAGAAGGTGGCCATTTTGAAAAATGGCCGCCATTTTAACGTATTTTACTATAACTCAAAAAGTAGTGAAGCGATTTTGTTCATATTTGGTATGTGAATACTATAAGCATGGCACACTGTCTATATAATGACACTTTGGGTAGAAGGTGGCCATTTTGAAAAATGGCGGCCATTTTAACGTATTTTACTATAACTTGAAAAGTAGTTCTGCGATTTTGTTAATATTTGGTATGTTTCCTATTCGTATGTGAATACTATAAGCATGGCACACTGTCTAATGACACTTTTGGTAGTAGGCGGCCAATTTGAAAAATGGCCACCATTTTTACGTTTTTTACTATAACTTGAAAAGTAGTGAAGCGATTTTGTTCATATTTGATATGTGAATACTCATGAGCCTTGCACACTGTCTCATGAGGTGGCCATTTTAAAAAATGGCTGTCATTTTTTTTTACATTTTTTACTATAACTCGAAAAGTAGTGGAGCGATTTTGTACATATTTGATATTTGAATACTCTAAGCATGGCACATTGTCTAATAAAACTTTGGGGAGTAGTCGGCCATTTTGAAAAATGGCCACCATTTTTATGTGTGTTATTTTACAAGTACATGTGTGCGATTTTTCAAAGATTTTATAGGTGGCTACTTAAAACATATTATTTCTTTTGATGACAACTTGGCTAGTGAGCAACCATTTTGAAAATGGTGGCCTTTCTGGTGTGTTGTTTTATGATATTTGCTATATATTTCGTTTGTAAAAATGCCAGCCATTTCTGTTCGATGGGATTCGCTACGCTTTGGCGTTGCCGTTGTTCTGGTTTTGTCATGATGAAATTATTATGTTTAATAATAATAGGATAGATACAGGTTGACACAAAAAGTATTCTCATATATAGAGGTTACGGTCGCTCGAGTAGATATATTGTATTTCCCTCAGATATACCCTGTATCAAAAATCGAACATTCAATAACTGATTTATCCTATTATTAGTAGATTATGAAAATTAAATATGCATTGAATGTTAGGGAACCCTAATGTAGTTATTACAAACGATAATTACAATCAAAACATGAATATTATATTTTATTTTAATTTAAAGTCAAAATTTCTTTTTTTTAAACATTCCCTACAGTCCCTTGGGTAGATATATTGTATTTCCCTCGGATAGACCCTGTATCAAAAACCTTCCATTAAATAACCTCTATTTCTTGTCCATGCTAGAGACTCCTTATTTTAGCAAAACTGTCATACGATTTCTTTATAGTATAAGGTATTTTATTAGTCTGGATTCGCCTGGATTTAGCATAGGGTTAAATAAAGTCTTTAATGCTTGAACACGATCCAGTTTTTCACATATAGTTAATGCGAGTAGCACTTAAGAAATGCTGTTCTACTGTTATAGGACAAAGTTCATGAGTGGCTTGAGGTTTGTTAGCAAAAAAGAATAAAAGCAAGTGTTATTTTATGTTCTTTATTTTTTCAGAGCTTCTTTATAGAACAGATTTCTTCCCTGGGCTCGGCTGGATGTTAGAGAAGTCTACCTGGCTAGAACTAGAACCAAAGTGGCCAAAAACGTAAGTTTTGTACATATTGACAGTTGCAATAGTATAAGGGGATTTCTCCAGCCTTGAAGCAGCTTGGGTCTGAAATTGAGGATCAATTTTCATCATGTTGTATTTTATAATGTATTTTGTTTCATTATATTATCTTTTAAACATTGGCTGATCTCAGTGAATTGTGTGTACCATAAATAGAGAGATGCTTCTGTTTTTGTAGATTCTGGGACGACTGGATGCGTCATCCAGACCAGCGTAAGGACAGGTCATGTATACGACCAGAGATCTCAAGAACAACCACCTTTGGAAAAATAGGGGTCAGCAAGTAAGTCTTCTTGAAAATATGTTCTTTATGCACAAATATATGCAGGGTGTCCATAGTGCATAGAGAGGAGAGGTGCTTTGAGCATGTTTTGTTAGGTACCGTTAGTCAAGATCATCAAACTTTCACAACAAAATTCACATTGAATGAACTAAATAATTCTGAAATTTCATGGCAGAATATGCTTGATTGACAGAGTAAATCAACTTTTCTTTGGTCCTGATTTTTGGACACCCTGTACTAAAGTAGTTGTGCCAAAAAGGGAAAGGTCACAGAGTAAAACCTGTGAGTCATAAGAACACAAACCCACAATATCCTAAACTATGAACATATCAAGAATGCCTAAGACAGGCTCACCAATATTCTGAAATCCAAACCACAAGATTGTGAGACATTTATTCGAACTGAACTTTATGCAGTATATCTATTTTTACCACTTTGTTTTGCAAATATACAAATACAAATTCTTATCATATTAGCTATTGATCACATGTTTAAGTATTGTATGACAAATATATGTGTACGATTTCATAAATACATGTAGTGCAGTTCTGTTGCCAGTTTCCTACATTTCTCACATTATCCTTAGACACCTTAGAAAATTGATGATATATAATTAAAAGTTGCTTCATATTACGTATAATTCTTTTTTCAGGGGGCAGTTCTTTGAAAAACATTTAAAATTTATACAGCTCAACCAACAGTTTGTGCCTTTTACCACTATGGACATTTCTTATCTTTTAAAAGTAAGTTGACTATTTATTCTGCTTTGTTATTATTTTATATTGCATACATTGTCTAAACATGTTTGTCATACAAGTATTTTTGTGAGTTAAAGACATTCAAAAAGTACCAGTAAAGTTAGTTATTTTTGTGAGTTTAAGACATTCAAAAAGTACCAGTAAGGTTAGTTATTTTTGTGAGTTTAAGACATTCAAAAAGTACCAGTAATGTTAGTTATTTTTGTGAGTTTAAGACATTCAAAAAGTACCAGTAAGGTTAGTTATTTTTGTGTCATTTTCAAGAAGGGGTAACATATTGGTATAGCCACCATTTTTGTGACAGGCATTTGTGGTCAGACCAATTGTGACACCATTGTAACCATTTACAATAGTTTTTCATGTGATGCTGATATTGTTATGTAAGATTGTCATGGTAACATGCACATTTCAAATATTTGCAGGAAAAATATGACGAAATATTTGTCAAAAAGGTGTATGAGTCCCCATTATTGACTGTTCAACAAATACGCAATAACGAGGAGTCTAAATATACCACAGTTCGTGTGCAATACTCTGATAAAGTAGGATTTAAAGCTCTTGCCAAACAACTAGGCATCATGGAAGACTTGAAGGTAAGGGAAAAAATATTTCATAGTTATCGATAATCTGTAACGTATCCTGTTTTCAAATAAACTTTATTTGGAGATTTTGGTGATTTGATGATCTGCTAATATTTTGATTTGCATGACATAAAAGTATGCATATTATTGTTAAAGTATAAACAATTTTAAAAGAACAGAATATGTTAAAACTCAATATTCAGGAAATATTTTGTTCATTTCTACATAACTTAAGTTTATGAACTGTTTTATTTCAGTCTGGTGTCCCTAGGGCTGGCTACAGAGGAATAGTAAGCTTTATGAGCAATGGCAGGCGAGTCTTCTTCGCACCTCCCCCAACCTGGGACAAATATGACGTCACCTGGAACTAATACTGGAACACCCCCAACATTCTGTTTCTACATTCATAAAGATTTCTCATTCATTAAGTCATTGATCATTAAGTCATGTGTATGATAGCCTCATTGGTTTCCCATTGGATCTTTATGTTGTGTAGGAATAGATTGTAGGGGGTGCTCTAGTATTATACTCTACTATAAGCTGTGTCCTTCCATAAATAATATTCAGTCTGATAGACATGATCTTTGTGAAACTGCAAAGGATGGTGAACAATAGTGAACATACATCTAGTGTAGAAAGTGGCTATACAAACATCAAGCACATTTTGATGTGAGCATTTACCTTGACATTGAAAAGTCTTCCTTGCCATTCTGTTCTATGAGACCAATAATATAGATGAAGATTATGGATTGATACTTTATATACTAAAATAATGAGGTACCTAGTCTTATATTGAAATGGTGTCTTCTCAATTGTCTGCTTAACCTTTCATTGGCTGTTCATTGAATGCACAATAACATGGAGACCAATGGTTTTAAATTCTTTTTTTTGATCATTCTGGCTCAAATATAAATAGATGGCTGATGTAAAGGGATAGCTCTATTGTGATGATTTATTTGGCGATGTTTGCTCAACTTTGGGAAAATTACCTTATCATTCATTATCTTGTATTACCATATAAGGAATTGATGTCCTTATGTAATTCAATTCTTACATTTATTAAGAGTAATATTATTTTTTGAAATTTTAAGTTTATGCTTAACGAAGACATTTTACTCAGTAAGCATTTTTGCTTTTAGAGGCAACATCTTTTTATTCACTAAATACCGCACTAGATATTGCCACATATGGAAAACGAGAGAAACTACGTTGAACAAGGAGTATATTATCGTACAAGTACGTACATTATCAGAGTAATTTCTCCTCAAATGTTAGGTTTTCCTCTTTCATATGGTGATTAGGACTAAGTAGCTTGACTTATTTTGGGATGGGGATGAGCTGTTTTGCTTTGAGCTATTAATTACATGCATACCATAGATGTTATTTCAAGGGCACATTATAATGGAACTTCTGTATTATTAGACATTGTTTGATCATAAATCATAGAATAGAGATAGAAACAGCTAAATGCTAGTACAGTATATACATGTACTGTATATTATTAATTCTCTTTTATTAAACAATGTAGAATAATACTGTTTTTCTATTTATTTAGATGTAATGTGTAGCAATTTTTAGTTTGATCTTATTAGCTGAAATGTGAGCTCTTGATTTAATGTGATTTTAATATATTTTTATTTCATTTGAATATTGTAAGATTACTAAGGAGTAACTAATCAGAGGATTGTATAATTTATTAAATCTAAACTTTTCAATGTGATTAGGTTAATTCTTGTTGTTATTTATTGCTGTGTTATATGCACAGGTGTGGAATATAGAGAAGTGTTATATTCAGAGTTACATTTAGATACATGCTCTAATGAGAAGTAAAAAATAAGTATATGAGCTCAATTTATAGAAAATGAATGATTCTAGTAATTATAGTCTACAAGTACATGTAAGTACCTGGTTTGTAAGTAGTCATATGCATTTATAGGTACAACATAGTTTTTGTTATCTGGTTTTAGTACACATTGATTTGAAGAAACAAAATAGCTTTATCTACTGGAAAGTCTCTGGAATACAAAGTTTAAGGATTGTTTTAGTCAAAATATTTTAGAGTCAAATAGGGTTTTCTGTTGCTGCAGCATCAGTAAATAAATAAATGACTGATTGGCGTTATACCAATAGTTTTTTTCAATTTGCGTTATAAGTATTGATTCCCTACAAGACATAAATCAAAAAAAATTTCTTGGATCATATCATTCCTATTGTTTTTTTAATATGTTGAGACAACCTAATTCTATTTGAATTAAACTATGTTATCTATTTGGATGTTTGTTGTAAAGTGTAAGATGTGTGACATAGCATTTTGCAAGTGACTTTCCAGGTACTTACAGGTAGAGAAATGATGTTTTACATACAACATAATTATTACATGCATAGTGGTTTTGTTTGGAGCTTTTGCAGTGCAGTATATATTAAGACTTGTACATTTACTCTGATTGGAATTCTGCATCTATCATGCTATAGTTGATGTTAAAGAGACATTTACATTGTAAATAATACACACGGGCAATAGGCTCCTACTGTTGGACGTACTAGTTATTAACTGGATATACAACTTAAGGCCATGTTCACCCATCTCTATGATTAATTTAATTATCACAAGTACAGGGTGACCCAAAAATCAAACTCTATTTTTGGCTCATTTTAATTAGACTTAATAATGATGGAATGTTGTTGTATAATTGCACCACTGTTTGCTCCATGAGAACTCACTATCTACACAAAAGAATTCAAGAAGATTCCATCATTATTCACAAATATATTCCAAACTTAGAGGGTTACATTTTGTGGTCACCCTGTAGTTATATGAGGCATTGAAGCTTCAAAGGTTCAGGTGTATATGTGGTACAGGTTTATATAAAAGTATGTACTATTATATAATAGAATTTAATATTATATAATAGTATGTATTATAGACACATTATTGTACATATAACAAATATTGATGAATTAAAGAGAATAAATGATTTTTATATTAAAACTGTACTTCTTATGTTTTCTCGACACAGGAAGAAATGATTATGAACCTTTGGAATTTTTACTGCATCCGATATATTTACTCGAATGAATTGCTCAGTCATGAACATTTGAAGGGCTGCTGGCCATATTTAAATGATTTATCTTGTCAGATTGGCCTTCCACTTATCCCACCTAACTGAAGATCCTCGAGAAATTGTTTTGATTTTCTGGGGTTTTTAGTGTAAACACTCACATTTAATAATCCCAATCAATGAGTAAAAATCTTTAGGGATGTAGAAAAATTGTTCATTGGACTATCCATATACATTAAAGTAGTAACGAGTGCTTAAGACAGGTTCCTAACTCAAGAAAGGGATTGAGAATCATCGAGATAATTTTCACGATCTGGCCGCACAAAATATCTTTACTCAAAAGTTTTTAGCTAATTATAATACATACATACAATGATAAAACTAACAAATTCCTAGATTAAGAATGTTGGAATATTAACTTTATTATTCACATTGAAACAACAATGTTCAAAATATTTGTTTGCTGAAGAATCAGACTGTTGGAGTAAATATTCCATTATATCACTACATAATATGTATACACATATGAGAAGACTACAAACAATAAAAATATGTGTTCAGATGATTGCATACTACTGCTTTAAAGCATTTCTTAGTCCAGAAAAAGTAGTACACTTTTTAAGTATGTATATTCATTTAAAACCGATGAATGGAAAATGTTTTTTTCCTTTTCATGGACTAACTAAAGAAATTTTTAAAAACTGTTTGAATATACATGATAGTAACAATTGCGTAGTTGATTTATAAATGTATGAACTGATGGTTGTATAAGTAAAATCAGTATATCATAAACTATGTAAACTAAAATAACATGTCATATATATTGCAACTATCATGACAGAGCCAAACAAGATATTTCACGAAAGTCATGGCTTTCTGGGAGAAAAATCAACAATCAAATTTTAAGAAAATATTACCACCCACATAAAAATGCTAATGCAATGTGGTTTACAAAATCTTGGGTACATTCCTTTTTAATTTTTTAATCAATCCATTTTACTTTAAAAAGATAACAACCATGAAATATTTTGTTGGTTTACCTATCAAATTGGCACCTACTTATCATTGGCATCATTCTAAATTGTATATACTTATTTGGCACAATTATATTGAAAATCATAAAACATACATAATAATGCATAAATCATATTTAACTAGCTGTTTTCTAATAAGCCATAGTATACAATGGATAGACAATAGACATATATGATGCTGACACCTCCAAAAAGGTCACATCATAAACACCACTAGAAGGTACATTGTAGAAGGCTAAGCAAGCACAGGGCACCGGATCTCTGTTTTAACTATATATGGAAATGTTAACGAGATACACAATAACTCATATTACACGCCCACTCCTGTACATCTTATGGCATAAACTACTATAATATTTATTATATATTATAACATTAGTTGCATAATGTTTATTATATATTACATTAGTTGTAGTAGAGGTTTTCTCCTATATGAAGGGAGCATTCAGAAATGAAGATGAAAATAAGCGGGTGAATGCAACATAAAGGGACATGATTGAATTATAACATTGGACCATGTCCTCATAATTTTAGAGAATAAATTTGTGTCATTTTATACAATCAATGACAGGAAAGCACTATCATATGAAAGCATTCAACAAAATATAGATGCAAACATAATGTGGCAAGATTATTGTGTCACATGTTAAAACGTTTCCAAATATTAGGATAGTGGGACCCTAATACATGCTATATTAATATGTTCAATTTTTGATAATTAACAGTTCAACCTTTAATAATGAGCTATTCAACCTTTAACAAGTCAGGACACTAAATGCAGGCAGATGATTGCGAAAAATGAAATAACACTTATAAGTGGAATGTACAAAAACCTACTTTACATTTTGCTCAAAATATCAATGGCCAAAATAAAAAATAAACATTGCTCTGTTCAGGATTATTCAAATAAAATTCAGGTAAAAATATGCTTCTCATATTATCCATGTATTATCCAAATCATCATTTGTTGATTTCTATTTTAAATCATTGACATTATGACGATTGATATTTCCAACAATTAAGCATACAGATACCTTCAATTATGACATATACATGATTTATGAACGAAGATAGAAATCTCTACTAATATACAGGCAACTAACAACTGGCCAACATAATCTTAAGTATCTTTTAACTTGCATAAAATAATTTCAGTTTTTAGTTCAGCACCAGTTGTGAATGTATCTAATAATTTTGTCATCATTAAAATATTGCAGAGTGAATCTTGTTAATTATGACTCTGTATTTTAACCATTCATTGGTCAATGACTGCATGGTGCAAATTACAGTACTTTACACTCCCAATCTATCAATTCTACACTGTACAGATATCACTGATTTTTGGTCCAGGGGTTTGTGATTGACAGAAGCTTCACCAAATTCCTCCACATTTTATGTTTTCTGGGTAGAAGTCTTTAATCTCGGAGTCTGAGTTTATTAAGCTGTTCTTCATCCTGTGAAAGCTTGTTTGCTGCCTCTGAAACATAAGGTAGCACCAAATGTAATAATTAGACAGAAATATAAGCAAATAACAGCCTCTCATTTTGGATTAGAATGATTTTTTAATTGAACGATTAATTTGTCCTTCATTGTTTAGAATTAATTAGCATTGTATAACCATGCAGACTAGTACCAGACTGGTATTTTTAAGAATCTACCACTAAGGGCTGTTGTTATTGATGTAGATATTTGTAGAACCAATATAAACTGCCATATATGTTGGTCAGTTATTCTGTGCTTGGCACAAGAGAAGGTATCTATTTAATTTACTGATCATGAGAGTGAAGCATGGGCAATATCTAATTAACAAAATAACATAACCCTATAAATCACATATATCAAACAATATGAATAATATATGAACTACTGGATATGTGGCCTACATATGAATATAAAACACTTTTAAATGACACAATGAGAGAGAAATGTAAAATAATACATAAAACCATATCTCAGTCAACAAAGCAAGCCATAAGAGTTCTAATTAAGCAGATAGACAATATTTACACAAGAACATAGACACAAATGAAAATATTAGAGATTTGAAAGTATTTTGAAATAATCGGTCTATCCATCAAAAATAATATGTATTTGTATATAACTTATTAAAAAATATAGTTCTGTCTAAACTTAACTTATGATATGATTCAGGACCATATGGATTCATTCATTGGTAAAAAACTAAGAATGACATTGCTATCTTATACTAATGGAATCAGGCTTAACTAAGGAGTCACTAAAAGGACACAAACAAAAAATAAAACTACTTCTGTCATAAAACATTTCATGAGGTCTAAAACAGAAATGTGATTAGAAAGTGTATTTTAATTTGAACATGCAGATATTTACTCTAATTGATAAAACTTAAGTCTGTCAACATCATGGCAAATTATTTTGGCTATATTTTCTTAAATAACATGCCACAAAATGAGCTTATATGTACCTTTATTGATAATCATAGTAGTCTCTATAGCCTGGATTGGAAGGCAAAAATGGACAACACATCATTTACAATATACATGTACCTGCTATGAATCTAATATACATACTACAGCCAGGAACTTTCAGAAGACTTTTCAAAGACATTCAGAAAATAGACTTTCCATTGAGGCATATGTTCATTGATGTTCTTGAATGATGTAACATAACTAACATATATCTCTTACCCATTTTAGCTTCGATGTCTTTGATGATGCTTTGTATACTGATATTGTGGTCTTTGGCATATCTCAGGTCAGCAAGTAGTCTTCTCTCAGCCTCTTCCAATACTAAATGTAGCATAAAATACAAGGTCAAATGCAAGTGTCAAACAAGGTCAAATACGAGAGTCAAGCAAGGTCAAATACTAGGGCCAAACAGGGTGATTGTGGAAATGGAAGTGTATGAGTGATAAATTCTCCATGCACTTGAGATAACTGGACAAATGGAAGGAAACTTTACCCAAACATTTGATTAATATTCAAATTAAGGCCATATCTGATCTAATCTTATCTATCGACAGATTTTTGTTCATGATGAAGAAAACTGAATTATTGAAATATGAAAGTATTCAGACACTCAATAGATAAATAAATATTAAATGAGAAGCTTTGTACAATGTTACATCTGACTTACATTCACTTTGGAACCTATCAAAGTAGCCCTCGTCATCACCTTAAAACAACAAAACATTCCAATTTACAACAGCTTTACAACAAAACAACATTACTGTATACATGTTTGGTGGCAACAAGACATTGGAGAGATGAACATGTATGATGATAACAAGAGACAGAAAAATAAATAAACATCACATCACATAACACAAACAACATAACATAAACAAATGAAACTATGAATTGGATTAAATTAAGTTAGTAAGATTTCGAGAAAAACAAAGAACATGTATAGCTAAGATGAAAGAAATACATTTGGTATTAGATACAACATAACACAATCTAAATTGCATAATCAAGATATGAAACAGGCAGTTTTGAAATTCCGGTGTTGTGTTCAAGCAACCAAAAAGGCATTACATATACATGTGTGCAGTAAAGTAACCAATCACATTTATTCTACTATTCATTTGAATATAATAACATTCAAATTCTCACAGTCATTTATAATGTACGCTGTTGAAAGGAAGTGATGCAATTGTGTCCAAGGCAGCAATATAATTTCAAAGTGTGCGAAGATTATTTTTATTTTGCAGTTTTAAGTTGAGAGAGAAGTGTAAGAAATGCAATCACAAACTCATAGTTGCATAGAGAAGAGGGAGAAGGAAAAAGTACAAGAAAGGTTGGAATGGAGATGAGGTTGCACAAAGGAGGATGATGTGGTATACAACCTTTCACAAACACCCACACTACAAGTCAAACTCTCTTCTATTAAACTGTTTAAATGCTGAAGAACAGTATGTCAAAAGCGTTAACACACTTTACAATAAAATGAACGATGTAAGGATAAATCCTGCCTCCAAACTTGTCAACATTACCCTCTCAAAAAGTAATCTGACATAAAATAATATCATTTTGTGAATTTCCATTAATCAGTTTTTTTAAAATTTAGATAGAAAATGATTTATTTTTTCTGAACAAAAATTGTCTGAACTTCCAAATATTATTTCTTTTCGGAGAAAACTGAATGGCCGTGTATTTTAATATTGACAAATATGTCCATTTGATCAAAAAGGTGTATGTGATACCGACAAAGCAAGCCACAGGAAGTCAAGTGCAAAGAAACTAGCCTATAAAACACACCCAGAGATACAGCACCAAGCTTGTTGTCAACAAGAGGTAGTTCAAAAAATCGACCATAACCTTCACCTTGTATGTTCTGACCACCTCTGAGGTTTATAACACTTGGGTCTGGAGCTTCCTTTGTTTTCTTCAAGCTTTTAAGGTTGATAACTGTTTTCTTGTCAACTGTAACACAGGACCAAGGCATGCACATGCATTAAATCAAAATAGTAAACAGGGCAGGGAAACAAAGTAAAGCTACATTCAAAGAGGTATGGTATGGTTTTACTTATACATGCTTTGCTTGGTTGGATGGACATATTTTATAAATGCATTGAGTTCACTCTTAGCAGTTTCATCAAATGAGCACAACCTCTGACTCTAATAACAAGAACACTATACTATTGAACAATGGCACGTGTACAAAGCTTGCAAAATGATCGAGATTGTTAAGAATTTATTAGGCACATGCAGAAATACAAAGACAGAACTATTGGAAAATAAAGGTTTGATGGTGAATGAACATAATTGTTTTATATTATGAGGTACTGGTAATAAAACAACTCCATTCCTAAAATAAAACACTCTATTAGTATTTATAAAAGTAAAATCTGATCACCCAAACCACCATACTTTTTAAGCATTTCCATTTTCACCCTTTACAAAGAGATTCGATAGAACTACTACAATTATGATTGTTCAAGATGATGCTAAGGATCCAAGATCTTTACTTGTTGACTGTGAGTGGGAACTCTGGGTACTGGGAATTCTGGATACACACCCTCCTCTGGCTATTCCTAAATGCAGTCAACCAAACACAAGCACCATCTATTTCTACCCCCTCACTAGATGGTGCTTTCTATATCACCATTACAACCTACCAAATGCTTTTCCTAAATTTTCTAGATCAAGTGAGGAATCATAAAATGTTCCTTGTGGGTTTCCTCTTACGTGTATAACTGCTTTTTTATCTAAATCTAAAGAAAACAGAAAATATAACTATTAAATGGAGTAAGACAGCCACAGGGACAGGTGCCTTCACTGAGATACTATCGCTAATTTGAAAATAAATCAAGAGCTCGTCAGAGCTGCTGAAATGAGGCCTCAAGTTTTCCTCTAGAACTCATAAGCTATTTCAACTCGCTAGTTAACTTGCAAGCTAAAACTTAACAAATTCACATGAGTTAACTTGCAAGTTTGTAAAGCCAGGAACTAGAGATTAGATTATCGAGTGCCACATCTAGCCTAAAGTTTAGTCGCCACGAGCAATACACATATTTCTTAAAATTGACATTCATTTCCTAAGTTTTCCAACAGTCAAGAGTGCATACAAAAAGACAGAAAGAGATGAGATACAACATTACACACAAACACACATCTAAATTGCATAATCAAGATATGAAGCAGTTTTGATGTTCCAGTGTTGTGTTCAAGCAAACGAAAAGCCATTACATATTCATGTGTGCAGTAAAGTAACCAATCACATTCATTCTATTATTCATTTCAATATAATAATAACAGCCAATTTTCAGTCACATATTCTGTTGACAGTTGTGCTGAATATATTCAAAATGTGCAAAGGCGATTATTAAAAAAACAGGACAGGACAGGAGGATGACATGGTATACAACCTTTCATCAAAAAGATTCTAGAAGCATTACTCCTGACATCAAGCATGTCAATAATTCCCTCTCAATCTGTGCAGTGTAAATGTATGATTCAAAACATAAATCAGCAGTGACTATTTTATTGTCTTGCAGTCGTCAGACATAAATATTCGTTTGTGAACGTTCATCACTCAAGGTTTTTAATCTAGATAGAAAATAATTCAAACAAACATCTTCTGAACTTTCAAATATTACTCCATATTTGTTCCAAGAAAAGTAAATGGCCTTATATTAATATTGATAAATACAGGGTGTCCCAAAAACTTACAGAAATACTCTTCCTTAATCGAAAAAAGCTGAATTTTTCCCATAAGGGAAACTCATTTCTCATTTAGCAATTAAGAATTCATAGACATTTTCAATTCCTTTCTGAGAAATTTTACATTTTAGAAAACAAGTTCTAAATGTCCTCCGTCATGATCGATGTAGAAATGAATGTAATTGAAAAATCTGTGATGGTTCTAAAGCAAGTTTTTATCTTAAACTAAATAGAGTTACATAATGAAACTTTCATAACATGTTTGTTTCAGTGCAAAATTGAAATATGGGCGATGGTACTAAAACAAGCTTTTCTCTAAAACTGAATAAAGTTACCTGATGAAACTATCAGATGTTTATGATAATTGTTTTTCAGATGACCAAAGAATATTCCTTCATCACTTACAGAATTTTTCCATCTTCATCTCAGTTCAATTTTTTTAGGACACCCTGTAAGTTCATTTGATCAAGAGGGTACATGATACTGACAAAGCAAGCCACACTAAGTCAAATGCAAAGAAACTAGCCTATAAAAACACACCCAGAAATACAGCACCAAGCTTGTTGTCAGGTAGAGGTAGATCAAGAAATCTACCACGACCTTCACCTTGTATGTTCTGACCTCCTCTGAGGTTTATAACACTTGGAGCCTTCTTCTTAAGGTTGATAACTGTTTTCTTGTCAACTGTAACACAGGACCAAGGCATGTACATGCATTAAATCTAAATAGTAAACAGGGCAAGGAAACAAAGTAAAGTTATCTTTAACGAGGTATGGTAAATTATTAGTTATACATGCTTTGTTGGATGGACATATTTTGTAAATACATTTAGTTCACTCTTAGCATTTGCTGGTCAGTAAATCTCATCAAATGAACACAACCTTTGACTCACTATAATATTGAACAATGGCAGACCAGGTGCAAATCTTGCAAAATGATCCAGATTGCTAAGAATTTATAAAGCACATGCAGAAATACAAAGATGGGACAGGGAAAATAAAGGTTTGATGGTGAATGAACATAACTGTTTTATAATATGAGGTACTGGTAACAACTCCATTCCTAAAATAAAACACTCCATTAGTATATGCAAAAGTAAAATCTGATCACCCAAACCACCATACTTTTTAAGCATTTCCATATTGAACTTATTTCCTTCACCTCCTATGTAATCCCATATACATTTCTGTATTAGAAAGTAGAAACTAATGCAAAGAGACTTCAGAAATAACCCGCACTGATCAGTGAACAGTTTCTATATGAAACTATAATTGTTCAAGATGGTGCTATGGATCCCAGATCTTTACTTGTTAACTGTGAGTGGGAATTCTGGGTACTGGGAATTCTGGATACACACCCTCCTCTGGCTATTCCTAAATGCAGTCAACCAAACACAAGCACCATCTATTTCTACTCCCTCACTAGATGGTGCTTTCTATATCACCATTACAACCTACCAAATGCTTTTCCTAAATTTTCTAGATCAAGTGAGGAATCATAAAATGTTCCTTGTTGGTTTCCTCTTACGTGTATAACAGCTTTTTTATCTAAATCTAAAGAAAACACAAAATATAAGTAAGGATTTAATGGAGTAAAACATGCCACAAGGACAAGTGCCTTCTTGTCTCAAAACCTGTCACAGCTGAATTAATTCATTGCTTCATTGAATCCATTAATCACCAATCACACAGCACTTTTTTCAGAGTGAAATGTCGAATGATGATCCATTCAAAATCAAGGATAAGAAAGCATGAGGATACAGTGTGAGAAGCACATGGTTTTTAACATATTGAAGTCAGCAAAACAGACAGGACAACTCCAATGTTGTCTATGGTAAGTGACTAAAACATATTGAGCTCTGAACATAAAAGCGCATGCATAACTGCAAATGAAGCATCAAACAAATTCTGCAAATATAGATATACCTGTACACGTATGAATGTTAATGTAACATAAAAAGAAATAATAAAGTTTAAATCTACAAAAGATAAGAATAATACTACCTAAATTGTAGAATATACAATCAAATATAAATACTTTTTGTTTTGTCACAATATATATCTTGAAATACATTTCTGAAGTACATGTACATTAAATATCAACAGTATATTTTATATAGATACATGTAAATAGAGAAATAAATAAATATAATAGACCATTTCCATAAACTCCTCAAACCAAATTTGCTACATCAATGTAACAATGATATATTCATTAGGTTCATAATGGGTTAGGTAGCAAATATTAAATTAACTTACTGATAACTTTGAAAAAAGGTTAGAAAATTATTTTTGGTGTTGCAAAAGATGGAACCAGGGTTTATTGGAAAGGTCCATTCCAACAAAAAAAGTAATATGAATCAATTAAATTCTCTGTAAATATTTGTCCTATGTACAAACTACATTGTATACTAAAAATGTAAAATATCAATAAATGTCAACTCATGCTTTACACGTACAACAATATCCATGTTAGTCAGTTATATGCAGATATCTCATGCCGCATGCTATAGATGACGCTACCGTTACCTGGGGCTCCCGAGCGAACATGTATCACTGCATCCTTTTTCTCCACTAGAAGACAATACACACATATGTGAAATGTTAGTAAATGGTACAAACAGAATATTAGTTATCAGTCCAAGTTTTCTTTGTGTACAAATCAGCCATTATGCATTTTAATGCAATTTCATATTCAAGTTGCAAACAAAACAGTAAAACTGACATACCAACAACATGTATTTTGATTTCCCATGACTTAGGTATGTTGTTTACGAAAATTGATTTTGTGAGTTTTCAAAGTTTTTGTTTTTGGCATTTTCTAAATCGAGAGTCATGTTGGTTTTAAGCTTCTCTTAAAAAGAATTCTTAAATAAAAAAGGGAAATTGAAAATACTTAGAATAAAATTTAACATTGTACCTGAGCGACTATCACCATTCACATGTATGACAGCATCTTTTTTATCAACTAGAGAGGAGACAAAAACAAAGATGAAAGAACAAAATAAAACACTTGCCAATACAACAATAATCAACAATATATTGTGAAAATTCCCTCGAACCTTTTTCAAAGTTTAATCATGCCAATAAACATATATGTAGGGATCAAAGTTTTAGAAAATATACATGCTTTATTTTGATTAATGACATTATTCCTGGATTTCATTCCAACTTAGTGAAACTTTATACCTGATCGACTTTCACCATTGACGTGAATAACTGCATCTTTTCTCTCAACTGAATACAAACATACATACACATGACATCACAATTTACAACATATGACATCACAACACAGATGACATTACAAAGTATACCGAATTAAATTGAATATTCTAATTGCATCACAACATGCAAAAGCTAAATATAATGTATTTTTGACAGATTTTATATATTTTCTAATCTGAATTCATGTTCTTTGTTAGAAAGCTTGTTTTCCGCATGCATATTTCAGATTAAATCAGTTCTCTCACTAGACCGCGAGCTTCAAACTTTGAATTAGTTTTTTGGTTCAGTAACCAAAAATTAGTAAATTATATTGAAATTTATTTCTGTACCTGCATTTTCATTTCTGACGTGAATTACAGACTTTTCAACTAAAACAATAAACACATTTCATGTTTAAATTTGTGATTTAGGAGTAAAATGATGATTTTATGATTTAGGATAATGTTACATTATATCAAATACTGACTTCTACTATTTTATTTTTAAGAATGGATTTCTGCATTGCGTAAGTTGGTGTAAAAGTGTTTTTTTTTGTGGATTGATAAGTATGACAGAATTTAAAGGAAAGGTATGTCAAAATATTTTTATGCTGGTATCTTATACACTTTATCTGATTATACTTAAGTTAGATCAGAAAATAATACCTGGATCTTCATTCCGCACATGTATTACTGACTTTTCAACTAAAATTATAAAAATTATGACAAAGTATCTATTATAAACTGTATATTTATATGTATTCTAAGTATGACATTAACTTTTTTATTCTGCTGAATTTAATTAATAATACTTAAAATTTCATTTTGCAGCATCGCTGACTTTTCAAGTAAAAATCATAAACAAAATTAAAAAGAAATCATTGAATTAAATTGCATCATTTAACTCATTATTCAAATATAACATTATCGTAATCAATATAGTTTGACAAAGATGAAATTCTGAATTTATTTCTTTTTCTAAGGACTGAATGAAAGATATTTCATGATGGTGTATGAAAGATTAGGTATATACCTGGATTTTCATTTCTCACATGTATTACCGATTTTCTGTCCACTAAAAATTATAAAACACAAATATAACAAATAAACATAACATAAAACAAATGCATCAAAGATAAAATGAAGTTAAACAAAAGAGCCGCAGTGCAAAATGATGCTAAACGGTCCTATAATGCAAAAATATCATAGTCAGGTGATATGTTAGAAACATACAGTATAAATAACTGTGCATCAAATCCACAGGCTATTGAAGTGCCAAGCAGCTGTGTTTGATACCATACAACAACCACAGGCTATTGAAGTACCAGCCAGCTGTGAAAAACACCATACAACATTGACAGGCGAAGTACCTGGTCAGCACCAAGCAACTGTGAAAGACACCATACAACACCAAATGAAGCTTTGTGCTAAAACAGAAATCAGCATTACTCAAAGACATTGCATCAAATATATGGCAAGCTGGATAAAAGATGTCAGCATTATATAACTTCATGTCCAGGGATATACAGAGCAGTAATAATGGACTGAAAGTTGTGAGCTGAACCTTTTGAATAATACATGTAGAGGTGATATCTATAAGTTTATAGATACATCATAAATAAGGCCAGTAGAAATAATTGTGTTTCTGGCCACTGGATGGATACACAAGAAAAAAAATTCAAAAATGACCTAGTGGATGGGTCTCAAATTTTAAAACCTGGTGAGCAGAAACAAAATTTATTTTTCTTGGCCTATAAGTTTTTTTTACTAGAAAAATGTTGAGGTTTGAGGCTATGTTCTTTGAGCATTGCTGCATAAAGTGAAGTACAACATGAGCAAGATTCCATCAACATATACAGGTTTCTCCAACTCACTATCCATAGGCTGGGCCCGAATATGTATAACTGCTTTTTTCTCACGCTCTTGTCTCAGATTTATTATTGCTTTTTTTAGAGGATCTTCATAATTTCTAATGTGAATCACAGCTTTTTTCTCGGCTAAAATAAGAGTGTACAACAGCAAAATGCCATTACACGAAATTAATACAAAATACAAGTAAAACACATTTCATATTTCAAGTCTAATGCATGTCAACCATCAATCTAGTGGGCGTAATTTTTTTTAATGTGCCAAAAGCAAACTTAGGAGCAATTTTGTGATTCATTTTATAATATATTGTTTTTGAAGGACCATTAGGGATGATGTCCAAATGGTAATAGCACCGGAAACTGAAGTTAATTTTCTTAATTAATTGCTTAATCAACCCTGTCCCTCGGCTATGTAACAACATCTTTAAAAATTGAATCATCATTCACCCCCACCCCTAATGAAAGTAACTGTTCCACAACTGTTCAACTTCAAAGGAGTGGTATCGATATGGCGAACTTTTTGAACACACGTTTCTCTTAAACCAGTCATCTAAAAATTCTGAAAATTTTACACATTGTCAATTCAATGGTCATCTTTTGATGGTAACTATATAATTTGAAATAGATATATACTTTTCTCTATATTGTTTTAGAAAACACATTGGTATCATATCTTCGGAATGAAATGAAACATTTATCCAAATCTCATTGGAACAAAATGACATAAACACAACGTGTTTATGTCTCTCAATATTGTAATTATACAAAGGAAAGTTTGGTTGACTTAAAAAAGTATCTTGTTAATTAAATTAAAGGTTTGTCTTCATTTTTATCTATTTCGGGGGTTTTTGTTTTAATTTTTTGAATACTTTTTGTTAAATCAACCAAAATTTCCTTTATACAACTATAATATTGGGAAATGTTGTATATGTATTTTGTTCAAACTAGCTTCGGAAAGATATTTTATTTCATTCTCAAGAATTGATAGAAAGGAGCAAAAACAATTGCACTAAAAAACAAAAAATGTAAACAAAAACAGTTATATAAAATATATATAAATTATTTTTGCATTAAATTGTTGTCAATCAGTCAACTTTACATAAGGACTGTCTTTTTTTACATAATGTTTTCAATAATTGATTTTAGAGAAAAACATTGTTGAATTAAGTTCACCATATCGATACCAATCCTTTATGTTTATAGAAAACATATTGAATCTAAAATGATTGTGATCATTGTAGCATATTCAATGTATGGTGTAATGTAAAGAAAACGTCATGTCCATTATGTAACCTATTTCACCTATAAAACAAAAAAATTCATCAAAACAAAATAAAAACACTGACAAATATTTGCTCAGGACACACTCAGTTCAGCTTAACCTAAAACTTTTTTATCTGAATTTATTATATTAAAAACGAATAAAATCTTTGTGTGAACACTAAACAGTCGGTACCAAGGAAACAGGAAAAGTACTACCGCCACTACCAAGGAAACAGGAAAAGTACTTTGTTTGTTGTCTGACACTCCTGATGCCAGGTGTATGTGTTTAGTTACTAGTGTCTGCTCCTAAATGGTTAAGAGCACACACAATTATTTAATTTATGAATCATATATTTGATTGTACTCAATTAAAGCAAATAAGGATGGGTTGACAGAATACTACAATCACAGATCTGTCACTTCAAAGAGGATAACATTCTTTGGGTTTTCTTGGAGGCTTAAGAAACAGAAGATGTAGTTCATAAATGCATTTATTACAAGATGCAATGTAGTTCTACTTGATTCTATGTTGACAAGTATTCCTATTTCATCTGAAAAACAATTGTACCTAAAAGTTTTAAAATGTGAAAATTAAGTTAATACAACTGAGGTTATGAATCTGTAAGTGCAATAAATGCAAAAAGAATGGTGGAAATTGAGGAACTAATTCAGCTAACATGGTTTTAAATATAGTGATTTACAAGCAGGGTCATACTTATTCAGATTGTCTATATTCATATATGTGTTTGTATCAGGTGTTTATTTGAAAGGTTTACATACAACTCTTATCTAAGCCCCACTTAAGTATACCCCTACACACAGGGAACATGTTAAACAAAATCTCTCATTTGCTGTTCACATCTGAGAGATTTTGTTTACTTTGACATATATAAATGCAATTCATTGCAATCGTTAAAGTTTTAAATTTAGTAAATAATTAACTAACTACCTTGTTGGGCATTGGTATCTTGAGATCCTCTGAGGTTGATTATCGCCTTTTCTTCAAAATGACCCTGATCAAATGCCTCTAGAAAATTAAATAAGTTTCTATTGGTACTACATAATTATAAGTATCTTAAAGGTGGAAATAAAGAAACACAAACATACATGTATAAATATTCAAAATGTTGCCTTTGTCAACTTCAACTTTATTCATAAAGCACTACCAAATTGCCAATTTTAGGATAGGTTGATGTATAAACAGTTGGATGGTAAAGATGTTCCTGTTCTGATGATGATGGAATTGTATTGTTTTTTAAACAAAAGATCTGACAGTTCCTTACCCTTTTGTTTCTCAGCTGCTAATTTTGCTTTCACACTCTGAAATAGAAAAGTATAAAAAAATGATAAAAAAACGAGACCGTTTGACCATCTTGTTTTACACTGTTTCAACTATCCTCTGTATAGCAGGGTTACAGATTCATACACAAAGTCGAAGGAAGGAACTTTTTGTATGTTTCTGTAACCCTGCGATACGGAGGATGCCAAATCTCCACTCATTCATTTTAATCAAGTGTACAATAACATTTAATCGTATTTTAGAACAATTAAGAAAAAGACAACCTTGACAATCTTGATAATGCGAAATATAATTTACCCGTAAAAGTTCAACTTCACTGGGCGATAATAGAGCTGCAATTTCTTGGATCTTCTCTTCACTGGGAGATAACTTAGGAGTTGGGGTAGTTGGCTTTTCTTGAACATTGAGATCTCTTAACTGAAAACATTTTATAGATGATATGTGTAATATAGAGTTATATGTTTTCACAAAAATATATTGGTTCAAAAAGCAAGACAGTCTCTTTAATAATTCTTAATCCATATTGTTACTTATATATTGACATTACAAAATCCACTTAATTGACTTATAAACATTGATAAAAGGGAATTTTGTGGTTTGAGTGGTTTAAGTGACCATACAAGTCCCATTAACAAAGCTATGAGTCCAATTCGTAGGAGGATTAATGCACTACACATATGAAACAATTCATTAACACAACACAGGAAACATTGGTGCCAATCTCAAGTGATACTTCCACCAATCCACCAAGGTCATATAGAAGGTTGTTTAAGTTATAAATTAATGAAAATACAGTTCTTGTGTGGGCCTTTCTTATAAAGATATACAATAGTAGACTAGGTTCATTCAGACTTTTCAGATTATAATTATTTTGGATTAATTTCACTGATTTTTTTTCACTTGCTGTAACATCCCTATACAATTTAAGATAAGATAGCCTTGTGTTGCAGATGTCATCCTTGCTGCAAGGGTATTTTACAAGTATGTATATATTCTGAATTTAAGCATAAATGAAGTCCTTTGAAGAAGGATGTGCAGATGTCGTCACCACAAACTATGATTACGGCGGAACTCAAAATATGAAGTATTCAATAATAATTTAAAATTTAAATAATTTATGACTTTTATTATATCTTTTATCGACTCTTTAGATGTCATATCATGACATATTAGTCACTTAGGTAGAGCAGTTCTTCCCATTGTCGAGTTGAAGAACTGGTATCTTTATCCTGGCTAGAACCATAGCCAATTCTAGCCAGCGCCAGCCTTTTATCGAGTTAGCAGCACTCTAGTAATCGCCGGTATAGGTCAGCAGTCATAGGTCAAAGACAAATCACAAGAAGTGCTGTGACCTGGGTTTGAACCCAAGAGTCAAGACCTCTACTTTTCAGCTTGAAGCCAGACTTCCTGCTTTTCATTATCTACTTAGAATTTAAACAAGTTAACTCACCACTTCTTGTAGCCTGGCAAGCTGAAAATAGAATAAAAACATGTAAAATATATAAGCATATAAAACATGTACATTTAGTTTGTCAGTCATTATACTTGAAGCTCTTCTCACATACAAGCTACAATGGCAGGACAACAAAAATTCTTTCAAAATCATGCAGTTTTTCACCATTCTGAGCATTTTTCAAGTAACTTTGAGCCAAAGTTGTGAACCCCCCTAGAAGTTTTTTGAAAAGTGAACCCCCTTGGCAAAATCTGGCAACCGGCCTAAGGGCCAGATCATTTACCGTTGGAGCATTGCTGCTACCATAAAGTGAAATACCCCTGGACAAAATGAAGAGCTACTTGGCCAAGTTCCCTTGACATTCCACCTCAAATTGAGGATAGCTCTTCATAGAGACAGATGAAGAAGACAGATATATCTTAGATAAACTTTCCACTGTAATCATTGAGCTAATCCCAGCATCTCCACTTGAAGTTTGAGTGGAATAATACATACAAATGTAGTTTCCATGTTATAGCTTTAGGAATGAAGACTATTCCCAGAATAGTTGCACAAGTGCAAGAGTTATCTCTACTAAATTGGCATTAATGTTATCAGAGTGAATGAACTTGGAAATTACAATCTGCAAATGGGAAAATGTCTCAACACAATGGGTTCAGACCTTTTACAATATTTGTGTTGGTTTATAGGGGTTGGTATGTGTTGAGTAGGTATAACAAAAGTAAGTGTTATAAGAGCATAATATGACAAAGTGGCAAAACTTTATCATGAACATCCACATATAGAGGGTCAATGGAGTTCCTTTCTAATTAAAATGGCAATCAGGAACCTATCATCCACCCACTAATTATGATGCAAGAAAACATAAGGAGCACCCAAAAGTGTGTGATTCCCCATGTTTCATATTTAGTTCAGAAGTGGTCTGAATCACCACAAACGTACTAATCCACCAATGACGTACAACAGCCCACTACAAACATATACTTATCTCCATGCATTTCAAAAGTCACATCTTCCATTGAAACATAACTGAGACCGGAAGTTAAACCCTTCCTTTCAGATTAAAAAGTATTCAGTAGATTTATAACCAACTTAATTATTCATCTATTCCAAACAAATCATAAAGCCTCCTTTAATGTTTTCTGATGGTGCTATTAGAAGATAACAATTATACTTTGAATACAGTTCATAATGCAAAATTTTAGAACTAATGCCTAGAGCCGCAATGTAGAGCTATGTAGTTCTACAAGTAGTTCCCCACCTTCCCCTTCAAACAAACTCTCCACATGTCAAAGGAAATATAAAATCACAGAGGGGAGGGGGTAGTGACAGGAGGAGGGGGAAAGGAGTATATTATATAGTTAACCATAGTTTCTACAAGATTGGTAAAGTTACTGTTAATTAGGGGCGTGATTAATTGACATATTCACTGGCTAGAGAGTTAATCAAATGGTAATCATTCCCAGGTGGAATGTGCCTTATCTTTACAAAACCTCAGGTAAGAAAGTTCTCACATCTATATACAAGTACCCAACAGAATTGACCTTTTACTTAAGAAGATGCTATTTCGCAACATATGTAAACAATAATACTAGCGTGTAATGTGTGAAATACACCTGTAATAGGATGTATCTTCCTTAATGAGATATACATGTAAGTAACTAAACACGCTGGATAAACCTGATGCAATCCAGTTACTGGTAGTTTGCTGGATTGCTTTACCAATTTGATCTTTATAATCATTGTTACATTCTGATGATCAGACAAGCTTAATGCCTCGTAAAAATGCTACTAGAAGAATAAATAAATGAAAGCTATAATGTTCCCTATGGCAGTTTATTGTAATCATAATCTTACTCAACAAGACATTTCATTACATAAACTGACTTTTTCATCTACTGAAGTCATCTTAATTTTGCTTTCAACTAATTCATTAGCAAAGAAGGAATGGTATAAGATTTTTTCTTTTAATCAAGTTCTTTACTATTCATATATTTGTTCAATCACAAGGCAAAAAATGTGAGCATTGAGAAAAAATAACATAAATCTGTATATTATTAACATATGAGGCGTAAAATCATATGTGTATTTACTATTTATGTATTATGTTCCTGTAAATTAGTTATCTTTCGAGGAGCAACAAAGACTTTTATGTCATACATGTTTTTAAAAATCCATCAGTTTTGATTATTTCAGGATTATCCTTTGATTATCTGGTAAAATTTTTTAAAAAGTAGACATCTTTCCAATTGTAACAATTTGTACATTTATGTGAATCAAATCTTCAATAACTTCAATATTTGATCAGATATCTCTTTTTCAGATAATAAAATATAAGGGTTAAAGAGAAACATCGGTACTTTTGATGCAGAAATGACTGATTCCAACATTGAACACTTCCTAGTCTTTAATGCTGGCACTTCGCTGACGTATAAAGCAGCAGAACAAACAAAAAAACTAGATTTTGAAAATATATTTGATGAGCTTTGTATTAACTAACAGATGATAGAATGGTTCCAACATTTTCTACCTGAACCTACAACCACGCAATTTACGAGCTTACTCATGGAAACTGAGCCATATCAAAAACAGTAAAAAGGTGAAACAAGTGTGAATGTAAAACGGTAGCTTTTCCGACCAAATGTTTGCACTTGATTTGACCTGGTCAGGTTGATTATGACATCACACTGATGCACATGGTAACAGAAGTTCAGGGATAATATGTTTTACCTTTCAACAAGATTAAATTATGAGAAGAATAACATTAATAAGAATTACATTTCATGACAAAACAGTGTGAGTTTGTTCAAGAGTGACATAATGACAAACCCCTAATTTGATTGAATTATGATGATGAAATTAAATGACAATTTTTTACCGGAACTTATTGTAATTGTATCAGTCTCAATATCCCATAACATTCTTCATAAAGCAGATGTGTATACTTCTGCCTACTTAAGCAAACCACAGAATGTTTCCTATATCCCCCTAGACATTATAGTAATACCCCTCCCACTTCTTACTTCCCTTTCCAATGGTTTGATGGAGCTTAGTGCTGCACTTGAATGGTTGCCCTTTGCAAGAGCTTAACCTTTACAATAGCTCAACCTTTGAAAGAGCTTAACCTTTACAAAAGCTCAACCTTTGAAAGAGCTCAACCTTTGCAAGAGCTCAACATTTGAAAGAGCTCAACCTTTGCAAGAGCTCAACCTTTGCAAGAGCTCAACCTTTGAAAGAGCTCAACATTTGCAAGAGCTCAACATTTGCAAGAGCTCAACTTTTGAAAGAGCTCTACCTTTGCATCAAGAGCTCAACCTTTGCAAGAGTTAAAGCTTTGAAAGAGTTCAACATTAATAAGAGCAGGAAAAAAACAAGAAATCATAGAAAGCGTACAGAATATGATTTCATAGATGGTTGTTTGCATAATTATATGATCAAATTTGTGAATTGTGTTCAAGAAGAACTTATCTTCAAATCGATAGGCAATATATTGTATAACTGTCTCCATCATCAATAAAATAAAAATATTAAAATGATATAATATTTCTCTGGGCTGACAAGAACATTGGGCACGCATAGAATAATCTCAACTTTAAGAGTAGAAATACAATTTTCTCCTGTGTCTTTCTGAAAAAGCCCCATATCATCACTGGGAACTTGAAAGATCTGATTTACTGGCACCAGTAGGAGAGAGTTCATGTTTGTATATTGTTATTATGTAACACTCTTAAAACAACAATTGCTCCATGACCTTTCATGCTGGCTTCTGTGCCAAATTACAATATCCCATCCCTTCATTGTAAAGTTCAGTCCTTTTCAGAAATTGAGACTTTCCATATTAGGAAAACGAAACATTTCTTGGGCTCACTTCAAATTCTATAAATATACATTTGTGTAAATTAAAACTGAGAAAGTTTATATTAATCATGAAAGACAAACAAAAGTCATGAGTAACACATTACATTTTTAAAAACAACAAACGTTTAACATTTAACAAAAATCAAATTTAACTTCAAGTATAAAATGGCTAAAAATCAATTATGACGCATCATGTATATGGCTTGTTGATAATACAGAAAACTTGTCAAAACAGTCTGTGATCTCGATCCCAGCATAAGCAAGTAGGTGCAGCAGCCACCTGGGAATATTCATTTGCACCCATTCTTGAAAATGAGAAAAATTATGAAAAATGCGCAATTTCAGTCTGAATTGTGAAAATTAGAATTTTATACCCACTTGAGAAAAAATCATGTGGAGAACACTGACAGGCAATCAAATGTATCTATAGTCTTTATACAGAGATCCGGTAATTGGTCCTCAATACATATATTCAATTTTGGGTACAATTAATATGAAATCTGCAGCACAGAGATATAAGAAACATCTTCAAAGAAGCATCCTTGAAATAGCATAACATGATGTATGTTTTTGCGATAGATAATAAAAATTAATTGGATTATTTGTATTGTTAAAATAAAGAACAACCCTCCCCGTCTTATGACTGTTTAGCATAGAAAAATGATTCAGTTTTAATTGTTGCCTGTAAGGAAAAAACTGTAAAATGTGAGGGTTGAAATTCCCCAATGGATACAAGTTTAGACAAAGTTATCCCCCTGGGAGATATTACATTAGAATTCCCTGATCCTTGTCCACCTATTATGGGCCCTTAGTGATTGGATGATTCCTTTAACACAACATTGTCATAATTTCCTACTATCTTACAACAACCAGAATTGTTTAATGCGTTTATTAATTAAGACGAGACACGATCGAAAATACATCTTTGTCTTCCTAACGAGGTTATGATAGTTATTTCAATTTGATTATTTCATGTTCTTTGTCAATTGAATAATAATTCACTAGGCTGAGAGCTCTTCATTATGATTAGTACTCAAATACGAAATTCATTAATTATTAAATAACGTTAGCTGTTAGAGGTATATGGTATCAGAAATGAAGGTGTTGGGGTATATCATGTTAAGTGGAAGCAATTCAGAAGTTATCTTGACAGGCTTCCA